ATTTGTTCCATTTCTTTGAAAAAAGTGGATGGTATTTTGATGGGGATTGCTTTGAATGTGTAGATTGCTCTAGGTAGCATTGACATAATATGGATGAATCTTGAAAACATTATGCTAAGTGAAAGAAGCTAGAGTCAAAAGACCACACATTTTATGATTCCATTGCAGGAGAGGCAAATCCCTAGAGGTAGAAAGTAGATTAAGGGGCGCCTGACTGGCTCAGTCAGAACACGTGACTCCCTTGATCTTGGGGTTGTGAGTTCAAGTCCCATGTATGGTATGGAGTTTACTTAAACTAAAAAATTAAAATTAAAATAAAAGAAAGTAGATTAAGTGGTAGCCAAGGGCTGTGGAGGGGGACAAATGGGACAGGGCTTCTATTTGGGGGTGAGATAAAATATTTTAAAATTAGATAGCAATGATGGTTGTACAACTTCAAGAATATAGTAAAAAATTGAAGTGTACACTTTAAAATGGTGAATTTTATGATATATGAATTATAAATTCATAAAGCTGTTATTAAAACAAGATAGTAAGAGAATATTATAAATAATTTTTGCCAATATATTTGACAGTTTAGATTAAATGGGCAAATTCTTTGAGTCACCAAAATTGAGTACTAAAAAAAATAAAATAAAATAAATTGAGTACTCTCAAGAAGAAATAGATAACCTGAATTGCAGAGAATGTTTATGTAATTTAATAGTAGTTGTACTTAATAAATAGCGTATTAAAAATTGAATTTGTAGTTAAGAACCTTCCCACAATGAAAACTTCAGGCCTAAATATCTTCACTGATGAATTCTACCATGAAGAAATAAATAATGCCAATTCTATAGAAACTCTTCCAAAAATTAAAGATGAGACAATACATCCCAAATCCTTTTATAATGTCTACAACACTCTGATACTAAAGCCAGACACAGATATTATAAGAAAAGAAACTCTCAGGCCAATATCCTTCATATACATAAATGCAAAAATTCTTAACATCATTTTAGCAAATCAATATATAGAATGATAATAATACATCATTACCAAGTGAGGTTTATCCGAGGATGCAATCAATGTTGATTTAACATTCAAAAATCAATCATGATATTAACAGACCAAAAAAGGAAAAGAAATCTTCATGATTTGGGGGGCAGTATTGTTTTCCCATAGATCCATAGAATAATCCTTCAAACTGATTTTGGACGCACACATATGCTTTGGTTTCTATATCTCTAGGTTTATTTTCTAAGTAAAAAAAAAAAATCATTGAAATGTTTTAGATGAAGTTTACTATTTGAAATGTTTATTCTTCTAATTATCTTTATCATTTCATCAAGACACAGATATAGGAGTCAATAACTGACTTCCAAATCTTGTGTAAAACCCAAATTCAGTAAAATGAACAATGTGTTAAATACACTTGGGAAAATTATTTTAAAATATATTTTGTGATATATTTATATTTAATCCCTCATCTAATTAAATGTTATGAGCTTATGCATTTTCAGTTTTATTTTCCTTAGAGTAGGAAGCATCCCTTCTAGCACCTCAAAGTACTATCTCCTCCTGTCTTCCTATTTCTCATCATTATTATGTACAGGAATCTAAATTCCTATTTTTGAATATCTTTTTCTTCACCATCAAACTATGTCTGTTTTAGTTCTCTATTTAAAATATACTTATAACTTACAAGCACCTAGGTGTTTTCCAGGTAATGAGCTAGATAGAAATATAACAATGCTCAAAGGCAGATATTTAACCTTTTGTTAAATTTTCCCTTTTTGTACTTTTAAGAAATTAGAGAAAAATGTGGCTATCCCAAGGAGGTAAACAGTAAATGGAATTTATTGCCCAAATCTATGTTAGTAAGCCTTAAATATTTAGTATGCTAACACAAACTACTGTTTTTCCTTTCTGCTGTTCTCTAACATTTAATTCTTTTGTTAGCACTTTAGGTTACCAGGAGACATGGACACAGAAAGAACTAATTTAAATTGTTCAATTTTTCTAATCTTTAGCAACCTTGGATAAACATATAATAAAAAGGGAAGTTCAAAGGAATACATAAAAAAAAAAAGCAATACCTAAAATTAGAAATTTGAAATGCTTACCTGTCTATCTATACCCTGAATCTTGCAATGAAATAAGCAAAAGTTGACCATATGGTTTTTAAGTCATCAATAGAGGGATTACAATCATAGATTTTGGAATTAAATAGAAAGGGGTTCAAAAATAGCTCTGCCCCTGACCAACTGTGTGATAGTGGATGAGTAATTTAAATTGGTAAACCTTAGTTTCTTCAGCCATAAAAAGGAGTATTACTATGAGGTGCAAATGAAATAAAATAATTACCATCAATGTCATTGTTATTCTTGTTATTTTTTTCTGAGAGCAGAGTCAGTCTCATTTACCATTGCATTCCCTGGCACCTAGGTGGTCTGCTCACATTTTTTTTTTAATTGAACAGAATTGCAAATGATTTAGTCATCATCGGATTTCATGGAGAACTGGTAGGACATGAGACTAATCCAGTCTGCTTTCATTGAAGCAGCCTATGTTGTATTCTCCCGGAATTTGCCAGTATCACTGACTCTTTGCAGTATTCCCCACTGAACAGCATAAGGAAATAAGGCTCTTCAAAAGCCTGCCTGTGAGTCAAGAAAGTGCAATGTATTGCCTTTCTTAGCTAAAGTGATTCATCTGATCAAGGTTACAGGAACTAAAATTTCCTAAGAGAAGAGCAAGAGTGACCCATGGTCACTGGTAGGAATTATAATGTAAATTCATTCCAAGTCCTTAAGAACTCCATATGGCAGACTATTTGAAGACAGCTTTCTACTCAGAGCAATGAAATAATGCTTCTCAAGGACACCGATTCAGTCGAAGTGGGTGAAGACAGGGGAACACTCCTGAGCACTGAGCTCTAGGAGAGAGGCCAGGAAAACAGAGGCCTCTCTTGTTCCATCCTTGAGAGCTAGATAGGTACGGAGGTTGAGAAGGCCTGTGATGTACTGTGAAAAAACTGTGTGAATGTCTCTGGTACCCAGTGCATCCAACCGTTTACTCGTGTAAGGGGAATTGGCTCAATTATGGGAAGAGAGTATGAGGCTGCCCAGAGAAACAAAGCGTTGTCCTAGCCCATCTTCTTTCATGAACCTCTGTATTCTAAAATGAATTTGAGCCCATAACCCAAATTTGTCTGTGGCCAGGCTGCTAGTAGAGAATACCAATCAGGCTGTGTGGTCAGAGGCTAAGCAAAGGTAACAGAAAGGGAAAAGTAATCCTGAAAAGTGGAGTTACTGACCTATAAGGAATCATATCAATGAGCATCCTGCTGGTTTCTGTGGCCATGCTTATCTTGTTTGCAAATGCAGTGAAGCCAAGAATCTGTAGGGGTTTAAAAAAATGCATGTGATCATCTAAAAATTATGAACTGCTTCCAGGAGCAGAGGTGCTTATAGCCTTGGCAAGACAGGGAATGAAATATGTGGCAGTCCCTATGCCTGAAAGTGGGAGAGAGAGGCGGGGCCAGTTCAGTCGAGTAAGAAAGGCGGAAATTTTCTCTGACTCTTGGCTCCCTAAGCTCTTTTTATTTTTTTCAAGATTTATTTATTTATTTGAAAGAGAGAGAGAGCACGTCAGGGGAAGGGGCAGAGGGAGAGAGAGATTCTCAAGCAGATTCCCCACTGAGTGTGGAGCCCAACTGGGGGCTCCATCCCAGGAGATGGTGACCTGAGCAGAAACCAAGAGTAGGAAGCTTAACTGACTGAACCACCCAGATGCCCCTCCCTAAGCTCTTTTTAGCATTGTAGCCAGAATGAAAAGCAATTTCAGCCTTGGTCTCTGATATAACAATGGGAACAAATTGATGTCTTCACCAACTTGGAACATCTAGACCAAATATAAACATGTTGTAAAAGTTTTTAGATCTAGGGACACTGTACCAATATAAATAAGGCTTTGGGGGATTGTTGAGGTATACTGAGAATCATATATTTTTTTAAAGATTTTATTAATTTATTTGTCAGAGAGAGAGAACAAGCAGGGTTAGCAGCAGGCAGAGGGAGAAGCAGGCTCCCCGCTGAGGAGGGAGTCTGATGCAGGACTCGATCCCAGGACCCTGAGCCGAAGGCAGATGCTCAACAGACTGAACCACCCAGGCATCCCATGACTTGCTTTTTTTTATCTCCCTTTTATTTACTCCTAAAATAGCAAGTCTCCTTTCCATTTCAACTAGTGGCAAAATAGACAACCTAGCAGCCTTTACACCTTATAGAGACCTCACACCAAAGCAAATTAAGCCAGAGACAAAAGAACTCGATGCCCAGGTCATAGATAGCTGCTTTACCCCATTCTCCCTATTAGCACATAAATCTTTTCCCAGCCTCTGCTGAGAGTTCAGACACTGAGCAGAATAGCAATTTGTTTACCTATGATGCTGTGATCTGATGAAGACCCCTGGGAAACTTACAGGTCAGAAGGGAAAGGAAAATCTGGATCATAGCTTGAGTCAGAGAAAAGTTTTATTCTTTATATAGTTAAGGGACAAGAAGTGTGGAAACTGGCCAAGGATCTCTTTTTATTTCCAATATAAAGGTGATGCTTGCTAATAAAGGAACATGGAGAAAATATGAAAAATTAAAAAGCAGAAGCAAATCACCCAAAGACAACTATTTTGATGCTTGTTTGGTGTTTGCTATACAACTTAAATAAACCCATACACAAATACACACTCATATATATATATATATAAATTATGAACATATAATATGTATAATTTCTTAGAGCCATAGGATTCTTGAATTGTCAGTATATTCTATCTGGATCCCAGATATTGCCTTGAAACTTTCCCTTACTATTTGACACTAGTGTGTTAAGGACAGATTGGTGGGTGTGTGCAGTTTTCTCCAGCACGTCTAAACAGTAAATGTCTTGGTGGGTGCAGTGAGAAGCTTTTTACACCCTAGGGCATAGCAACTTTCATCCTCCCTCTCCCATTTGCCTCACTGCCAGGGAAAACATGCAGGTCTTTTCCCAGTTCTAGACGACATCTCTAATCCTTGCTACTTGGGGGACAGTGATCCTGATCACTTGACTTGCTTGACATGTGTATAAGTAATGTATTGCAGGCTTTGATAAGCTTTGAGTATAAATTAATTCACAAAAAAGTGTAATGTCTAAACTGCAACAATTCTAAGTCTTCACTGACTTTTATTGCTGGATCTCAGTTTCCTCCCCCACTTCACTCCATGGTGCATCCTAATTATTTATAGCACTCCCCAAAAGGAATGTCTTAACTATGGCTCCCAAACCAATCTGTCAGCCATAGTCAACTCAGAGAATCCTCTATAATCTTACTTCTCACCTTTCCCCATCACTCTGGTTAATGTTCATTGCCTTTGAGGTTGCTTGAGGGAATATCACTATGATCCCTGCTGCTGATGTCTCTTAAAAGAGGGCTGATTTGGGTCGCCTGGGTGGCTCAGTCATTAAGCGACTGCCTTCGGCTCAGGTCATGGTCCCAGGGTCCTGGGATCGAGCCCCGCATCGGGTTCCCTGCTCGGCAGGAAGCCTGCTTCTCCCTCTCCTACTCCCCCTGCTGTGTTCCCTCTCTTGCTGTGTCTCTCTTGGTCAAATAAATAAATAAAATCTTAAAAAAAAAAAAAAAAGAGGGCTGATTTGCCACAATGTGGATGGACCTGGAGGGCAATATGCTAAGTGACAAAAGCCAGACAGAGAAAGACAAATACTATATGGTATCACTTACATATAGAATCTAAAAGCAAAAACAAAACAGTCAGACTCACAGAAACAGAGAGTAGAAAAGGGTTGCCAGGAGCTAGGGGCTGGGGGAAATGGGGAAAGGTTGATAAAAATGTACAAACATTCACATTTAAGATGAATAAGGTCTGAAGATGTAATGTAATGCATGGTGACTATAGCAGATAACATTGCGTTGTATAATTGAAATTTGCTAAGAATAGAACTTAAATGTTCTCTCTGTTTCTCTCTCTCTCTCTCTCACTCACACACACACACACAAGATAAATAAACAAGATGGAAGTGTTAATTAACTAGATGGGCAAATCCTTTCACAGTGTATATGCATGTGAAATCACCATGATGTACACTTTATATCAATTACACCTCAAAAAAGCTGAAATTAAAAGAGAGAACACCAATATCTGCATCACATATGCCATCTGCTGGTGACTCCAAAGCCTCAGCTTCTTAAGGTGTCAAAGCTGAGCTGGGTTCCGTGAAAAGGAGAGGTTGGCCCTGATTCCACTCCCCAAACTCCATCTGCACGTTGTCCCTTAGGCTCTAGGGCACCATTATTTATGTACAGGATTTGGGAAGTCTTTGATAAAACTAGTCTTTCAGTTTCTGGCCTTTATGAATTAATAGCTTTTCAACTACTCCAAGGAAGAAAGAATACACACCTCCACAAGAAGTAGACAACAGTTGTAAGACAGAGCTTGTTCTCAACTTCCAAAGCAATTCCCATACTCTTTTAATCATGCAGAGTATAGACCTGGATTATTTAGAGCTTTAGTATAGACCTATTCTATAGGTTATGCTGTGGCATACAAATCATGAGACCTTAGTGTTATTTTTTTGCCCACATATAGTCTCTTGTGGGTCAGTGTCTCTCTGGGGCAACTTCTTTGCAAACAGTGCCTCGGAGATCCAGGCTAATTCCACCTGGGGACCCTATTATTTCAACATGCAGCCCTATGATTACCACAGCAGGGAGAGAAAGAACATGGGGACTCACACGCTTTCTATAAGAGAAAGCTTTGGCCCCAAAGTCACTGGCCCTGACTAACTACAGGGCAGCTGGGAAATATAGGGCAACATGTGGACATTTGGTGAACTTTAAGCATCTCTGCAACAGAACACTTCTTAAGGGGAAATTCATTCTTGTGGACACCCAAGGGTTCAGCAATCCTAATATGAGAAATGCTGACTTTAAAAGCCTGAGCTTTATTTATGAAAATATCTTTATCATTGTAAAAATGTTAATCATAACTGCAAAAGATAAGTTTTATCAGTAGATTTTTCTTAAAGAAAGAAGAAATGTTATCATTAGATAGTGGTGAGCCACAGCTCTGCTGCTTACTAATGACATGGATTAGGCAATCCATTTAAGATCTCATCTCCCTCAATTTCTCTACTGTAGCATAGTGAGAATGAAAGGAGGCTGAATAACAGTATGATGGCAACACTATTAAAGTAGAAACAGGGGCACCAGCCTGGCTTGCTCGGTACAGCATGCGACTTTTGATCTCAGGGTTGTGAGTTCAAACCCCACATTAGGGGTAGAGATTACTTAAAAATAAAATCTTAAAAAAAATATATAAAATAGGAACAACATTCTACATAGAAGAAGACGGAAATTCACCGAGCATAGGCCTGTCAATATATATTTGAAGGAAGAAAACAGTGAATAACTGAAAACCCAAAATTATCAATTGTAATTGACTTTGGGGGGTGTAGAAATTTCTTTTCTTCCGTTTTTTTTCTTATGTTTTTCAAAGTTGCTAGAATGAGGGGTACCTGGGTGGCTCAGTTGGTTAAGTGTCTGCCTTCAGTACAGGTCATGATCTCAGGGTCCTGGGATCGAGCCCCGCAT